CATTTGACTGGGATAGTTTAAGGCTCTTGCCTTCAGCATGGGGTTGGACTACAGGATCTCTGAGGTCCCTTCCAGCCCTATGATTCTAAATTCAATGAAACCAGCTAAGCTGGTAACTAGCGTAACCCTCATGGTAGCCAGTTCCAAAGTTGAATGATATATTCTGTAAAAATGAAAAGAAACAAACAAGAATAAAGATTTATTTCCATGACTGAATTTCATTGGTTGACTCTGCTTCTAATTGATCTCTCTAAATTCTTTATCCTGTTTATGGTATAAAAAAAAACCTGGAGAGAGATGTCTAAATAGGTAAGGTTTTCAATAAATTGGGATGGTCACCTCTGACGAAATCCTCCACTTTTAGAAGGCTGCCCTTTAATTTACAACTCATAAAATGCACATGGAAAATCCTCTTTAAAAAGGACAATGAAGTTAGAGCAACATTAGTATAAAATGTCTTAATACAATTCTTTGAACTAGGAAAAGTACATTGGAAAATAAATGTATTAGATGCTCATGTGCATGCATGCAAATATTAATGCAGACTTCTTGTTAATACAAAATTTATAACAATGGAATTTAGCCATGATATACTCATTTACTTATTTCATTTATACCCCAATTTTCATCTCAAATTAATATTTGATGCAATAAGTTTATAAAAGCTATCAAATTAGACTATAGAATAAAAATCTTTGCAAATCTTTAGCCAAGTATGAAACATTCGTTGCCAAACACCAACACCACTGCAACCACTGTTTATAATTGTGGTAAAAATGGACTATCCTTTGTCTTTTATATGAAGAGGAAGAAAGAATAATATCTTGGAAAACTAGGAAGAAATAGATAAAGAAAGAGAATCTGGATGCCCCATGAAATTTTAGCTTTTGCACCCAGTCCCTAGTTTATCCACTCTTGCTCATTCTTTGTGCAATCTTCTCCTAATTGCTCTTCAAAATATCATTATGAACAGAAAGGCAGGAGAACTAAAGTTGAGCTGCAAATACAATAATCTCAAACAATCATTCACTAAATAAACTCATTAGAGTACATTGAGTGCACAAAGAACACACAAAGAATATAATGATTTTAATCTTTTAAAGATTAATGCTTCTTAAACAGTTGGCATAATCTTAGCTGTTCCATAATTTTGAAGGCTGTCGTATCTTTTCTAGTGCAGTCTTTTTCAACCTCAGCAACTCAACTCAGCAAGTTGACTGGGGAATTCTGGGAGTTGAAATCTACATAGCTTAAAGTTGCTAAGGCTGAGAAACAAGGATCCTGGGGTCAGCATCTCATGGCATAATTTATATGGTGAAGCTTATAGCTGGCTTTACCATTTAAAGCAGGAGGATTGCAGTGTGTACTGAAATAGCTTTGTTCCTTTACATTTTACATGAATTTACTTCATTTGTTTTCCTAAATCTACTTTGAATGGGAAAAGAAGCCCCTATTTATTCTATTTAGAATTTTGCAATGCTGTTACAAAGCACACTTATATGCTGAAAACTGCAATTTGTTGTGATTCAGTTCACTCTAGAGGACTTAGTTATCAAAAAGCATATGTAAAAAAAATGAGCACCCTATTATACATTTGCATAATTTAGGTGAAAACCTACTGAAAAGTACATTATATTAGGGGAAATAATCTGTAAATTGCCAATGATTGGGGTGGGAAGAGAAAATATAAAAATACACAAATTAAGATTATTAGGGAAACGTCTGTAGGAAAAATGTGCAGAATGCAGAATTAAAAATACAACCTGATTTGGGAGTGAACTGAAAGAAATGCAAACATGGAAAAACAAGAGTTTAAGAATTTAGGGGAAGAAAAGTCTAACTTCCCCATTGTATTGTACCCTTTAAAATGATTGCTGTTTATAGTGTATTACAGAGCACATCCATGAATGCCAACTAGTAGTCAGAAGATAAGATATAAAATCTTTAACTGTACAACACATGGACAGGCTAAAGCATAATTTCAACTGGGAGACTGGAAGCATCCTAGATCAAGCCAAGTTGAAAAAACCTAGTGAATTCCTGGAAGAGTGGAACTCAAACAAACCAACCATCATCTGGTACACAGAGATACACATCATCTACACATCAGTATATCATGGAATTTAGCCATGATATACTCATTTACGTATTTCATTTATACCCCAATTTTCACCTCAAATTAATATTTAATGCAATAAGTTTACAAAAACTATCAAATTAGATTATAAAATAAAAATATTTGCAAATCTTTAGCCAAGTATCAAACATTCATTGCAAAACACCAACACCACTGCAACAACGGTTCATAATTCTGGCAAGAATGGAATACTCTTTGTCTTTTATATGAAGAGGAAGAAAGAATGATATCTTAGAAAACAAGGAAGAAATAGATAAGAGAGAAAGAGAATCTGGATGCCCCATGAAATTTTAGCTTTTGCACTCAGTCACTAGTTTATCCACACATAACCAAGAGCATTTGTTGCACTCAAAGCAGAGAAGAATTTATGATAGCTACCTCTAATACAAGGACCTCAAGAGGTTCACCTCCTAATACAATTGAAAAGAACAAACAGATCATTGAGATGTACCAAAGCTTCTTCTTCTAAAGAATGGCATGCATGATAGAGGATGGGAATCCAAGAGGCAACTTCAACCTAGACAAGAACTGCTACATCAGCAAAGAGGACTGAAGGGTTCTTGAAGCTGAAAAATTGTCAATAAGTCCTTATGAATTTATAGAAGGGATGGAAACCCTAAGACTTCCAGATGGTATTAAATTAAAACTAGATATATTGACCACACTGCTTAGGGCTGCTGGGAGATGCCCAGTTGATTAGCAATATCTGGAAGTCTAAGGGACTATTAGGGACTATTAGTAATTTAAGGCAAAAGATTCTGAAAGAAAAATCGTTATGCATAGAGTACATATACCTGTACATACATTCACCCAGTTGAATAAAATGCAGGTAAAAAAAATATATATATTGACTAAGCTAGTGGATTCCTGAGCAAAAGTTGCTATATAGCTTTTGTTTTCATACTTTACATAGAAGAAAAAATAAATAATAGTGATTTAATAATTTACACATAAAATTGGCTTATGGCATAGCTAGTTATCTATCAGTCAAGAAACTTTCTTACAGTCATTGACCAATTCACACAAAGGAAAAAGACAAATTCTAGTTCTAGCAAATAAAACATCAATAAAACTAAATAAATGGTACAGTCCAAATACAGGGTTTTTTATAAATAATACAGAAAACGTAGCCACATTCAGAGAAAGGAAAACTGAGATCAGGCAATAATAATTTAGACAGAATTAATCTGAATCACCTGGAAATGAAGAACAATTATCCTAGGGGAGAAATGTGAGATGATCTAGAAATTTCCTTGTCTACTGATGTGAGTGATGACCTCTCCTTCAGAAATAAATATAGAGCTACAGAGAGACAAATTAATGGAGGAGATGAGGTTGTTCAGGTGAGTAGCAGCTATGAGGAATGACCTCAATCCTGGAATTCTGGATTTCTCTTCATTCTTTGATCACTTTAAACCAGAACCATGTTCTCACTTCAGGGAAGCTGATTGGGTAACTCATGTTTAAGGTAATTGAAAGGGAAAGCTTTTCCTCCTTTTTTTATTATGAGAGAAGTATTTAGAAATTTTAGATCAGACTCAGCATCAAACTGAGATAAGAAAAGCATTAAAAGAAGGTATACATTTGTAGAAGCAGGCACACTTTGTAATTCTGGTTTATCATTTATTTTCTCCTTGAACAGAAAAGTTAAATTCAGCATAAGATGTGGCTTGGTGCTACTTTTATAACTCTCCCCCTAACAAACAGGCTTTGCAATTTTAATTAGTCTGGAATTATTTCAAGAGAGGAGCGCTGGTGATGTTAAGGGCAGAAGTTCTGAAAGAAAACAAGTTGGCCACCAAAGAGAGTTTCAAAGGCTCCCATACCTCCTTGTTTCTAAATGAAGAGATGGTTCTTTTGCCTTTGTCCTCTTGGAATGAAGCTGCTGTTTCTACTGTGGGCTTTCTTTCCCCTAAAATTGCCAAACAGACTAATCAAAAGTAGAGTTTCCTCTTTTCCTTTTCATTCACCAAAGATTTCTGCTTTGCCTTTAACAAGAGGGTGGGTAGTGCCCCTCTTTCCACACTGGTCTTTATTGTGCCTTTATAGCTTTCTATCCCAGGTGGAGACAAAAGGAGAGATTATAGGGGGAAAGTGGGTCCTCTTAAAGCAATTGAAATGATTCGCTCTGCTCTGTGATTCATCTCAGAGTTCCCCTTCAAATGATCTTTATAGGATAACAGGGATCATGGAGATCTTCTAGTCCAGCCTCCTGCTCGAACAGGAGATCCTATACCATTCCAGGCAAAGGGTTGTCCAATTTCTTCTGAAAAACTTCCCATGTTGGAGCACCCACAACTTCTGAAAACAAGTCATTCCACTGATTAATTATCCTCAATTTGAATGCATATTATTGCAGCTGACATTTGCATCAACATATAAATCCCCTGTTTCAGAAACTGGAGGTCCTGTTCAAGGAATTATATGAAGAGATAACAAAAGTTCTTGAGTTCTCTACAAAGTGAGAATCTATTAAGGCACAAAGTGAAATCAGGGATCCTTTAGGCAAATGCATTGAATGGATTCAGTCAATGCTAGCAATATTGAAAGGATGCTAGATTGCTCCCAAAGTGCCTCTTACTCACAAAATACTGTAAAAACCAACTCTTGGCATTTAAGACCCCATGCACCAGAGGCCCCAAATTTAGTTGTATTAACAGGTGAGCCAGGGAAAGGTCTGCTGTGAACAATTAATAGCCTCCTTTGGGCTTTTGCTTTGGGGATGCCTTGAACGAACCCTCCCAGCTGTCATTTTTGGAATGACATGTGGTAAGCCAGCTGGAAAACTGCCCTCCAGTAGTATTGTTACAACTCAGAATTTGTGCAAATCCTTTAGCAAACACCTTCTCATATAAGGGCATGAATGAAGCTGAAGGACTCATTCCTTGCTTCTCATAGTCAACAGAGGAAGAGTTCAGGTTGGCTTGAAAGCAGGAAGAGATTGCTTGTCTTCCAGCCAAATCCAGCCTCCAAAATGATCCAGGTTCTATTGGTAACTATATGCTTAGCAGCTTTTCCTTATCAAGGTAAGATGTTCTCTTTGGTTCCCTTGTTCAGATTCTTACTGCTAAAAGACTATTGCACCCAACAGATTGCTATGTTGATGGGTTTGTTTTGGGTTTTATTTTTGACAATTAATCCAAATTTGCTCCACTTTAGTTTCTACAGATTTAGTAAAAGAATGGTCTCAAGGATCACATTTGTTCTAAAGTTACACAAATGGTTTCTTGGTATTTTCTTAAATTTTGTCAAGCCAATTTTGTCAAGAAAATTTCAGAAAGCAAAATGTTAAAGAAAAATAAAGTGTTTTCCGTTTTAATTTTCTTTCAATGTCAATTAGACATCCTGTAATTAAGCTTGCATAATATTCAGCCAAAGAAAAGCTAGTGCTATTGTGGTTGTGTAGTGCTAAACCAGTGGTAGTGAACCTATGGCACGTGTGCCAGAGACGGCACTCAGAACCCTCTCTGTGGACACAAGAGCCATGCCCGGGAGATGGCAACCCTTTCTCTTCAACCAGCCTCCTGCTAACTTGCCACTGGTTTCCCTCTCTCACGTCTCATCCTTCCTGGTCTTGCATGCTCTCCTTTTCCCAGGTATGACCCACTGCATTGCCTCCTCAGCCGTCGGCCAGCCATCCAGCTCAGAGGTGGCTTCTTTGAACTGCTAGCCTACTCTGTGGAGCCCCAGAGTGTGCTGGTCGAGGGGCCGGCAGACTGTGACTGCTGACGGACACCGTCGGTCCCCATGCTCTCTGTGTCAGGCAGCAACTACCCTGGTCCTTGCCTTGCCCCATGGCAATGGCACCCCCACCCTGCCTCACCTCACCCCGTAGGACAAGCTTCCTGCCTATCGCCCCACCTTCTAGAGACCATCTGGATCTCTCCCAACCCTGCCCGCCCCGCACAGGCATCCCTCCCCACGAGTAACATTGAGATGACCACGCCCACCTTGGCTACACCCACCCAATCTGCCATGACCACCACAGCCACGCCCACCTGGCACCGTGGTAATAAATAAATGGGTTTTGGATTGCAGTTTGGGCATTCGGTCTCTAAAAAGTTCGCCATCACTGTGCTAAACCATAATGCAGTATGGTTTACTGAATAGTGTGAATCAGATTATTGTGATTTACAATTTCTGGTGTTATCCTTATGACTCAGTGCACAAACTTCCAGATTGATTGAGATTTATTTATTTATTTATTTATTTATTTCTGATTATTCAAGCTCCAAAATGTTTCTTTTGCACCTGCCCAAAACAATGTCTCCACTTAGACTTCCAGCTCCCAAACATCATTCACAAATTGCATTCCCTGAGAAAATCTGGATTTCTATGCTGTGTCCCACTAGAAAAAGATTCCATTCTTCACTGATAACCAAATAACAAATTGTGTTGTGGGTGTGAGAATGGTAGAATAACATCCCAAAGTAAACCAAACCTTCTTTTTCCTTACAAAGGGAGCTCTATAATTCTGGAATCTGGGAACGTGAATGATTCTGAAATAGTCTATCCACGAAAAGTCACTGCATTGCCCAAAGGAGCAGTTCAGCAAAAGGTAAGAAAAAGATCTTTCTTTCATCAACAAATTATTTCTTGTCAGCCCCCAGAAATTTTGTTATTTCATTGCTGCCATCTAATGGTTATCTGGATTTTGCATTGCAATCTATGTTCCTCCTTGAATTATTTATGTATTAATTAAACAAATTTATATGGCCGCCCAATTCACACAAGATTGAGGAGATTCCTGGCAATTTACAAATAGAATTTCCTAATATGTATAGGTTAGTATATATAGTTAGTATACTAATAGTTAGTATAACTATTTTCTAGTAACACATTATATGGGCAAAGATCAGGTAAGAATAAATACAGGTAGATGAAAACAGAAGGAACTAACAAAGACAGGAAGAGATAGGAGAAGGAATTAAGCATATTATCTGTTTAGATAGGTAAGGCATTAAGTCAAAAGGGTATGACCTTCTGGCTGCTTCACTAGGACAAAGGGTATCAAAAGGTTATGAGGTTTGTGGGGGGGGAAACATGGCAGTTTGCTGCACGTGCAATTTCCCCCACAATAGGCAGAATACAGTAAAGTGCTTAATTTAAATTCTGCATGTCTACATGCATCACTTAGAAATATAAAAGATGTGTTTCTAGGGGAAGATGGTATAGTGGTTACAACTCAAGATTAGTTCTGAGAATGAGATTCAAGTCTCTTTTGAGTCAGTCTCTCTGTCCCAGCATAACCTCACTCACCAAGATGTTCAATTAGAAAATGAAATCTTGAACTTATGCAGGAAAGTTATTTTAAGATCTTACAGTTCAAAGTACCAGCCTGAACTCTTTGCTTTTCAGTATGAAGACGCCATGCAATATGAATTTAAGGTGAATGGAGAGCCAGTGGTCCTTCACCTGGAAAAAAATAAGTATGTTAACTCAGACTTTTTGTTAACTTTATGTGGTCAATGTGGAAAATGTATATTCCTGGACACAATCTAAGAGAAATAATAATAACATTCCTTTGTTGGGAAATTAAAACCAAATTAAATGTTACTGTGTAGGAAAAGTGGATATACATATTGAGTATGCTAAATTCTAATGTGTGCTTTAGAAGTTCTAGTGTCCCCTTTTGTTTTGTTTAAATATGAAGTCTATTCAGAAATTCAAGGGTAGCATCTGGATGATCTTGTTTTGGCATGGAAGCAAAGCAGGGCTACAGGGGGAAGATCAGCAAGGATTTCTAGACTGGAAAAATGGAAGGCAATGATGTGACATCAGGAGTGGAATGTGACTCCATATACTGGTTTAAAGCTTCAAGAGATATGCTTCTGTATGAAGGTTCAAGGCATCCATTTCCTTGAGGTGGCTTCATTTACTTTATATTAAATAGAGCTATACTGCTCCCCTTTATAGACCAAGCAGTTTCATCAGATTATTTCATAGACCAGAAGAATAAAAGGAAGACGCAACACAAAATGTCTTCTCCTAGTCAATCATACTCCTCTCTGAGCCTTGATGAAGAGAATTGCACAGCTTCTTTGGTGTAAATCTCTTTCTTCAGGTGAATCTAGTATGCACTGACCTCCTCTTATATAGCCATGGGATTGAAATACTTGTTCCATTCTTTTGATAACAAACAAGATGTTTAATATGCCATTATACAAAAGTTGTAAACTTATTATAAAATTATCTCAGTCCTACTTAATTCTTGACATAGATATTCTCTTCTTTGCAGAGGACTTTTTTCAAAAGATTACAGTGAGACTCATTATTCCCCCGATGGCAGAGAAATTACAACAAACCCTTCGGTTGAGGTAGGGTCTTATTTTTAAGTGTCTTACGTTATTATTATTATTATTGTTGTTGTTGTTGTTATTATTGTTATTATTCTTATTGTTGTTGTTGTTGTTAGTAGTAGTAGTAGTAGTAATAGTAGTAGTAAATTGAAGCAAATGTTTGTGCACAATATTATAAATATACAAGAATGAGACCAGGCTACTCAAAAAAGAAGGGCCATATTATATTGATATGGACTTATAAGGATGTATGGATTGTTAAACCCAGTTTGTTTTACTCATTGAATTACCATGGCAGTATTTCAATCATCCAGTTCTTTCCTACTGGTTAAAAGCCAGCATTTGGGGGAGTGAGTTTCACAAATAGATTTATTATGAGAAGATCAGGTTTATAAGGTCTATATTTTCATTTTTGAACCAGACTACAGGGATACATGCAAAGTCTTTTATTTGTAATACCAAAAGTTATAACAACTTTGCTTCTAGACAGAAATCCATATAATATCTTTCGTATTACATTAGTGCAAAATGTTGCCCTACCAGCTGCAAAAAAATGACACACTAACATGCTTTGTGAATTCCTTGGCTCCTTGCCTCCAAATTCATCTAAAAGCACATTCTCTGTCTCCCAAAATTATCTACTTCTGGCTTAGCATCTTCAAAGGTCATACAAATTGCTTCCATTTAGTGTGTAACAGAAATCTCTTCATTTTAATGTCTACATGGATCCTGCTTCCAGATAATGCTAGGAATTATATCTCTCTGTATATTCTGAAACTTTCCTTGTGTGAGCTCAAGAAAATAATGACTATTTGGTATCATTAGTAAATGTGGAATTTTCTATACATTATGGTAAGATTTCAGAACATAGGACAACCATCAAGTCTGAAAGTTTCTTCAGCAAATCCTGTGGTTCAGCACTAAAGCTGACCTTCAAGAAAACATTTTATATTTGTGTGTTGGTTGTCTGCCAAAAGTTCTTATCTTTGTGCCATCAGTGGGACTCCCCCTGCAGTGTGACTTGATTTATGGAGATTTGCATTTATCCTATGTTTATTTTGCAACAATCAATATTAAGCAGGTCTTCTGTCCCCCTGAATCAAAATTTTCTGAATAACTGCTGTCTTAATATTTCCTTGATGTGGTGGAATACATTGGAACTGTACTTCTGCTCATCAAATCACACTACAAACCAGCTTTAACCAGTGGAGTCCTCTTGCCTCCCTCCAGGATCACTGCTATTATCATGGACACATCTCGAATGATGCTGACTCAACTGCAAGCATCAGTGCATGCAACGGTTTGAAGTAAGATAGTCTCTAATCTTTTATTTATTTTATTAAAAATAATATACTGGTCTTGGAGTTGTCACAGTTAAAATGGAGGACATCAGTTTTTCATGCAAATGAGTTGGGTGTGATCCAAGACTTCTGCAGAATTAAGAAAGACTTCGGTTGAATATCAAGAAGAGCTACTGCCAGCCAGTAGAGATACAAGGGAGCTAAATCAGATCTGTCTAAAGGAGCTTCCAAGCCCCTGTCTCCTTTACATATAGGAGGTGATGTTACAGGTAGAGAAGATAAATAGGTTTCAAATTGAATACCTTGCTAAAAGGTTATTCATGCAAAAGTATCTCCAAATGAATACTGTACAGATATTTCATGGTTGTATTTTGTATGTGAAATCTCTTATATCTTTCTGTTCATAGCTGTATCTTTGAGAAGTATGAGAAAGCAATATGAGTGCTGAGTGTTAAGAAAGAATTCAAAAACACAGAGAATGTTGACTTTGTTAGTTAAAAATGGGTCTCAGAGCTGAGTTTCATTACCCAACTAGCTAACATCATCAGTGCAGGTTATCTCTGACCTAACAATATTCTCTTCTGCCGCTTCTCCATCTCTGATCACCCTTTTCCACATTGTTTTACAGAGGACATTTCAAGCTTCAAGGGGAGATGTACCTCATTGAACCCTTGGAGCTTCCCGACAGTGAAGCCCATGCAGTCTTCAAATATGAAAATGTAGAAAAGGAGGATGAGGCCCCCAAAATGTGTGGGGTAACCCAGAATTGGGAATCATATGAGCCCATCAAAAAGACCTCTCATTTAGATGTTACTGCTGAAGTAAGTCTCATAGCAAACATGGTTTGAGAACAGGGATTCATTTACTTGTTTCTAAAATATAAAGTAAGAGAGAAATTCTTTAGATAGAATTCAAAAGGAAGGACCCCCCATTTTTATTTTTTTTTATTCTAGCCATGGTATAAAAGAAATAATGAAATATGATGAATAGAAAATACATGTTCCAGGCTTATAGCATTTTCTTTGGTGATACAAACTTAGTTTGGAGATTTGAATCCAAATGAAGTTAAATGAATCTCCAAATAATCTCAACTTTCTAAATCAATTTTTAAAAATAATCAAATTATCAATTTGAATGCCTCTTTTATGCATGCAGAGAGGACTTGGGATAGGAGGAGAAACTGGTTTGAAATATTTAACGGTTTTGAGATGTCTGATAAGACCATTACATAATCTTGACTCCATTTTCAAATTTGATTTGAATCATCACATTGGATTGATGCAATGATTGAATAAAAAGTGAAAAATTGAATCTGGTCACATTTAACCTTCATGCTCCCAATATTTTCCTCCTTTACTGGAGGGACAAAAAATAGAAAACAAAACATTGCATCCAAAGTGACACTTCATTCCTTCCTTTTGGTGGCAAAAGTTGAAACTGGCTGATACATATCTAGAAGTTCAAAACCTCAAGTTTTCTATTAAAATATTAAAGTTGACATGAAACAACAGTTGTTGTTACCATGGAATACCAAAACACAAGTGCAGATGCCACAATTGATTGTGAAGTCAGTTTGTCTTTTGGCTTCAGTGTTTCTGGCAGTTCAAGTTTCTTTATCCTCAGCAAGTTGTGGTTATATACATTAATTGGTCCTCTATCTTGAATGTTCTTGTCTCAATGTCAGATCATGATCACTTTATTCAAACTGGATCTTGTGCAGCAGAGTTAAGAAAGTGGCTGTCAGAGAGCAAGGAGAGAAATTGCACTCTGGAATTGGCAATTTGGCCTTGTAGTTCTGTATGCTGAAAAAACAGGAGTACACTTTCCTAGGGAAAGAAGCAAGTAATGCACCCTCACACCTTCAGGTCTTAGCATAAGTCTACTTCTTGAGCAATCTGGGTACTCTAGTGGTGGAATCTAGCAGGGGAATGCAGGAGGGAGGGGCTCTTTCCCAGGGAAATAAGAGGCAGATCAGCAATGAATCCTTAGATGGCAGAAAGAAGCCTGGAAGGGATCCTCCCTAAAACCTTCACAGGTGTATCTCATGGTTACACACAGTGTGCTTTAGTCTGGCAAGATTCCCGTCTACATGAGAACAGCAATAAAGAAACTACTCTGACCAATTAACCATGGTTTCTTGTTCCTTGTGCCTGAAAGGATATTTCAGTAATCATTTTATAATTACATCAGAATAAAGGTACAATTAGAAAGGTCTAATGGGTTCCATAGCATGACCACATCACCGTGTTTCTCACGTGATTGGTTGGGATCCTTTGTTTGAGAAAGGGAAGGAAAGATGAGAAAGTCATTGGAGCATCATTTAGACAGGCTGAAAAATAGATCAAAGAAAGCAATTTCCTCACATGCCTGTTCTTATTCCTATTAAATTCTGTTCAGAATTAGGTATTCATATATACCTTTATCTTTAAATGTAGGCATCATAAATTCCAAAAACAGATTAATTGGAAACAAGTGAAAAACCTTATTAATACAAAGAAAGTGAATTTTTTTCAAGGTGACCACTTTTGTTTGTGCTTGACAATCCATTGCATAATATACTTTTTCCTCAAAACTGTGTCAGCACTTTCTCTAAGTCAGAGTTCTCCAACCACGTGAGCAGCGGGGTCATGCGTACACACAGCTGGATTTGTGCGAGCAGTGGGCACACACACCCACTCATGCAAATGGAGCACACCCTCCCATGCTCACTCATTGGTCATGAAGTGGAGATGCAGGCGCTCACCTGCCACTTCTGAAGGGCTCAAGGCCCAGGGCTAAAATTTTAACAAGCTGTCTCCCTATAAATGTCTTCTTAAAAGAACCAATATTTCTGAAAGTTCAAGTATTTTGACCAGAGAGTAAAACAAGCACTTTTCTGATTATCTGAGGTTGAGCAACATTCTTGTTGGCTGCTGGGAGCGACATGTTTAAACAGCCTTTTCTTTATTGTTCTGTTTAGCAACAAAGATATAAACCCTATAAATACATTGAGCTTTTTCTAGTTGTGGACCAAGGAATGGTAAGTAACCTGGCTATCTTTCCATTTTCTTTCTGCATTGGACCCAACCAATATTTACAAAGTTAAGAGTCATTTGTAAATATACTTTAATTTGCACATTTGTTCTTTCTGGATACCAGATCACAGAATGGTAAGTATCCTGGATATCTCTCCATTTTCTTTCTGCATTGAGCACAGCATTTTGTTTCTTCCTTTTAAAATATGGGCATTTTTGAAGAGATTAAAAAACATCCTTTCTCTTAAAATGTGCTTTATCATAAACTTTGATATTTTTCTTATTGAACCCAAGTAATATTTACAAAGTTAAGAGTCATTTGTAAATATACTCTAATTTGCACATTTGTTCTTCCTGGATAACATCTAAATTTATTTTTATCCCACACTGGTTAAACAGTTCTGTAGGTTTCTTTGAAATGTTCCTGCACTCTTTGTTTGTCCAAATTGACAACACACAAAGAAAAAGATGCATAGTGAAGAATGCTTATCTCACACATCTCTGAACATGAAAATATAGCATCCAATTTAGGAAATCATTTCAGTGGGCTGACCAAAATTTTCTCCAACCAGGAAAAAAGCCCATGAATGCTGCTGAAAAGTTAAAAACCTTAATATATTAATGGCACAAATGTAGGTTAAAAAATCAGCACAAAAGAATTCTTTGGACTGCTTGGATAAAAATTATTATTACATCAACAAATTCAATGATCTTTTCACTGATATCTTCTTTCTCTCCCTCCTTCTTTCCCTTCCTATAATTATAATCTCATCTTAACATTTTTATCTTTTCTGTAGGTCACGAAAAACAATGGCGATTTAGATAAGATAAAAACAAGAATGTATGAACTTGCCAACACTGTGAATGATGTAAGAGAACAAGGCAAATACATTTCAGTTGTTGATTTTAAACATCTCTCAGCCCCAGCCCAGATTTTCACTGTGTTCACACAACACACTTCTTTTCCTGCCTGAGCAGGGGGTTGGACTAGATGACCTCCAAGGTCCTTTCCAACTTTTTATTACTATTATTAAGATGGATTTCTACAAGAATGCAATCTTTGCTGGCTTTGAGTGAGGCAAAACTAGGTCATTTGGCCAGCTGGTGATCCAACATGTGAGGCCATCCAGAAAATGGGTTAATTCAGTAACTAGGTTAATAAGCCTCTTATGGAATACAGCCACTGTGTTGGGAGGATGCTAATCCAAAAGTGTTGCAAAAATTCAATCAGAACTATATCTGTAGCTGGATTCTTTCAGGCTGTGGTTAATGGTTCTGAACTGGGAGGTCAGAAAGAGATGGACTGATTCAGCCTATTCCAAGCTCAGTTGATTATGAAAATTATCTCTGAGAAGAAACCTGCTTACAGAAGCCAATGTCAGATGCTTTTTAATCTTGAAATGTTTCTCAAAGTTTACTTGTGTTTGAGTTTCTGATTGATGCCATGTCCACCTGACAGATTTTCAGACCTTTGAATATTCGCGTAACTCTGACTGGCCTAGAAATTTGGTCCAACCAAGATTTGATTACCATGACGTCAGCAGCAAATGTTGCTTTGGACTCATTTGGAAACTGGAGAGCGACAGATTTGCTGAAGCGCAAAAGACATGATAATGCTCAGTTACTCACGTAAGTCTCATTGTGGGGAAAGGGAGTGGGGGTGGCTGGAGTGGAGGGTTATGGGGAGGTTAGTGCTTGCACAGAGCTTCTACTCTATGCTCTGTGCTTTAAACTATGTGTGAACTATACTTCTGGGTCAAAGTCAACCACTTATTTTGTAGATGAGAGCTGCTTTTGAGAAGTCCTTGAATGATTGAAGGTGAAAAACTCAGCTTGATTTCATTTCACCTGGATTTAAAATTGAATCTTATATGATTATCCTGCTATATTTTTGCCCTACTTACACATGCATTTTTAATTCAATTAAGTGATGTTTTAGTTCCTGTTCTGCACCAACTAAATGAACACTTGCATTATACAACAGATAAACCAAAAATAAAGTAAAATAATAAAATATCCAATCTATTCATAGTGTTTAGCAATATATACATATACCTCTCTCTCTCTCTCTCTCTCTCTCTCTCTCTCTCTCTCTCTCTGTGTGTGTGTGTGTGTGTGTGTGTGTGTGTGTGTGTGTGAATGTTTCCCTGCCAGTAATATCTAGGAATTTGTGCTCAACTCTGTTTCACAGCTGAAGAGCCAGCATTGTCCAAAGATGCTTCCATGGTCATGTGGCCACCATGATCAAATGTCAAAACCACATGGAATGCTATTACATTCCCCAAAATGCTACCTATTTATCTACTTATGTTTGTGTGCTTTTGAACTGCTAGGCTGGCAGGAGATGGAACAGGTAACAGGAGCTCACTGTATCAGGCAGAACTTGGGTCTCAAACTGTCCACCTTCCAGTCAACAACCCCACTGTCTTCACTGCTCAGTTCCACACCCCATCAGCCTACAGTATATATTGTCATTCATTTTTATGAGTGGGAAACTGACATGGTTATTCTCTTATATCTATAAAATATTGCACAAATAACAATTGTGTTATGAGCAATCTTACAGATTTTATGAAATAGGGGCTAGATGGAGGGCAGATCTAAGTGCAAGTGAGAATATTAAAAAATAACAGAAAAATCAATTTTATTTTCCACCCAACCATCTAGTCTTCAATAACCCCACAGCTAAATTGATAGACAAAATATATTAAATAAATATATATTTGGGGTTTTCATAGTTAATGGAATTAAATTAACCCAATGGGCTGGATTCAAACAACATGCTAACCCTTCTCCCCAACCTCATTCATGCTAACACCAGCCAAACTCACCATACAGTGAAAATGCATCCTGAATATTTTTAACAGACCTGCTTAGTTAAATGGCTTCTGAGATTAGAATGAATTCTAATATAGGATGAGGGGTTTGCAAAAAGCCATAGTTCTGTATGCCCTAAGACTACAAAATATGCTTCTCTCTTCTATCAATTTTGTCCCCCTCCCCTTCTTTCTTATAGGGCCATTGACCTCGATGGAACAACTATAGGAATAGCTAACATAGACGGCATGTGCGACCTGAAGCGTTCTGTAGGAATTGTCCAGGTTAGTAGGAAAAAAAGGATACCTGTTATCTATTTCTACTCAAGAAAAAACTTACATACAGGCAAAACATCTTTATAAATAAAGTCTCTTCTTATTTTTGATCTATGTCATTTTCATCCATATTTATTTGTGGATTTGACATCTCCAGGTCCTGCCTCAACTGATGGCATTTTGGTACAATGCATTCTAAATATGTTGTAGAACAAGCTATTTGTATGCAATAAGCCATATGTCAAAGATGACAATATATTATACTGTTTCTGGATCAGGAAGAGTCAAAGTGATTGGCAAATGAGCAGATCAAATCATGTTACAATACTTCCAAATAATACTTCTGAACAATATTCTTAGCAGTCCTAATGACAAACATGAATCACCCTTCTATCATTCCAAGAAATTTAGTATCTAGATTGCATGTGACTGAATTAAAGTATATTGTGAAAATCTACTTAAAAAAGAAAAAAAACTCCAGTATTTTAAGATCCTTCAAGAAAACCATATTAGTTGTGGTGATGCTATGCATTTATTGAGAAACAGTAAACTTAGCTTTTTGTTCACGTAGAAAGAATGGAGAGAGATGGCAATAAACAAAACATATAAAACAAAACTCATAAACTTTTGTTTCTTAAAAGGCAGAGTTGGTATCTTGGTAATAAACAAAACTTATACAGCAAAGCTCATAAAGTTTTGTTTCTTACTAAGCAGAATTAGGATCCTGATAGTAGGAGGTATTCGTAAATCTGCTTGCTCAAGGTCATTTTATTCAGAAAAAGCAACTCAAGAATGAATCTGTTTAGGATGGCTACCTTCAATATTCTGAAAATGCTAGCTTGTAGCAAAAGACACTGATTAGTTTTTGGACTGAAGTTGCCTGTAAGTTTTAATAACTGAATAAATGCAGACAGCAAATGGATGCATAAGTTTTGATCTTCTGTGCTGTAGCTTCCGGGCTTTAAAGTTTCCTTCTGGATGTATTTGTATATGTTCTGGAGTCTTGGTGGGCCCATATACATTCAGAAGAGCTAGAGGAATCCTGAGATGGTATCCTCAACTTAAAATTGGTCACTTAGTCACCAGTTTTAGCCACTTAGTGCTAATAATAATTGGATTCACTTTCACTTTCTTGGCAGACTAACAATAAACAAAGTATTCTCTTTTCTTCAGGATCATAGTGAAATAAATCTTCGGGTTGCAGTTACAATGGCCCATGAGCTGGGTCATAATCTGGGCATGGGTCATGACAATAATTCCTGTTCTTGCGGTGGTTACTCATGCATTATGTCTCCCGTGTTAAGGTAAGAATTGAGGAAAACTTTTTTTTTATACAAATTTTATTAAATGTACATTTTAAAAACAAAAATGGACATGATTCAACTTCCCTGGCTTCAACAGTGCTATTAGCATTACCTTATGTTACAGAAAGAAAAACAGAAATTTAAAATACATTCTATAACAGGACAGAATATAAAAAACTGTGCGTATAACATCTGTAAATTTTTGATAAACCATCTTTCAATCGTCAATGTTGTATTTACATATCTATCATTTGTGTCCTAGTATAGGTACTAATAAGAAGTCCTTACGATATCAGCTAGTCAATCAATAATCATCTCAGTGATCCTCCTTATCTCTAACCAATCATACATTTTTTTGGGATTGAGGAAAACTTTTAATGCCTTTCCAATCAAGTTATTTTTAAATGGTTGCAATTAATTGTTAAATTAAATATACTGAGAACTTACAAAAATGAAAAGGTCAGGGAGGTACAAAAACAAAGGTCTTGGTCATTTGTGTGTCACTTTACCCTGTGTAGTTAAAATGTGTCGTATTTAAAAAGGTAGAAATGTCCTCAACATTTGAATAGCCATCCTTCAGTAGCTTCCTCCAAAACACCAGAGTTTAAAGAAACAGCGTAGGAAGCATAGCCAAAGAAACCAAACATTAATATCTGTGATGGATAAAAGAGGAAACCAAGTTAGACGTTAAAGAGTTTCCTAAAGTGGGAAGCAGAATGGGGAAAAAATATTCTGGACCAGGCAACAGCAGGAAGAAAAGGATAAATTAGCATCCTTGGGGATTTTCTGCCTCGCCCTTTCATCAAGGTAGAATACGTTACATCTCTGTCATAGATTGCAGTCTTCTGAAATCAGCAGGTAGAAATGTAAAGGAAGTCATTGACTTACAACCATTTGTTTAGCAACCGTTCGAAGTTACAATGGCCCTGAGAACAGTGACTTATGACCGGTCCTCACAATTACAGCCATCGCAGCCTCCCTTCAGTCACAGACTCATGTATTTATGATGCTTGCAGCATCCTGCATTCATGGGATCCTCATTTGGGACTTTCCCAGCTATCTTCCCATATGCAAAGCCAATGGAGTAAGCTGGGTCCCTTAATGATTGTGTGGTTCACTTAATAAAGTAGCAAAACTGGTTGTAAAACTAAGCACGACTCACTTAGCAACTGGCTTGCTGGGCAATGGAAATTCTGCTCCCAGTTGTGACAGCAAGTCAAGGACTACCAATATTTTCTTCCAGGTGGAAGTTTAGGCCTTACTTCATCAAGAAGGAAAAGAAAAGGAAAAAGGAAGCAAAACCTTCTCAGCAATTGTCTGTTGCAAAACTCCCCAAAACTTTTGTGTAAGCGTTTTGTGTAGGCTCAGTGAGCATCTCAGCTATTGATCAATTTCTGTTTTCTTCAGCTAAAGCCTGAGAACTTCATTGCCTCCCATTTCATGCAATGGCAAGGAGGCCAGGAAGTATGGAGAATGCCACGTAGCCTTTCCTGTCCTTCCTGAAGGATTTCCAGACATCATGATTTCTCTTTAATACTTCTAGACACTTCAGGGTGTTGTGTACAGAAGACTTTGCTTAGGAAACAATTTTCCTCAATTAACCCCACAAAAGGGGTCTGGTGCAACTTTGACCTTGGAAGAAGAACATCTTGTCTATTTAATGGCCACCAGCAGATTCTCTTTGTGTTCTTGTTTCCACCCCATAACTTGAGGGCCGATGATTATATCCCCAATGATTTGAATTAACATTAGGAAGGTGCTTTGCTGGGCTTATGATGTCACAAGATGCAGCTCAATCAACTAATATCACATGGAGTTCTCATTGCAAATGTATTTTGTTAGAAAAGAAAGGAAATTAAATTAAAACTGAGGGAGCATAATCTGGGACTTAGATCAAGGGTTACAAAGGGTTCTCTTATCTATTTTGTTAGCTTTAGAGAAAAAAAATCACTGCATTTCTTCATTAGCCATCCTTTTTCCGTCTTATATGTTTTTGCAATGAATTCTGTTCCTAGTCCAAATATGGATGATGTCATGGTCTTATTTTGGTTCATCTCTACAGCCCTGAACCTTCCACATTTTTCAGCAATTGTAGTTATTTCGACTGTTGGGACTTTATTATGAATCACAACCCAGAATGCATTCTCAATGAACCCTTGAGAACAGATACTATTTCACCTCCAGTTTGTGGAAATGAACTTTTGGAGATGGGAGAAGAATGTGACTGTGGCACTCCTGAAGTAAGTCTTTTTTTAAAAAAATCAATAAGAATATGCAGAATTTTCTCAAAAATGGGAATCCTTGAAAAATCGTCTGGCTTTGTAAGTGGTTTGAGCCATCCAAGAGGTCAGTCTGTGAATGGCATAGATTTGTGCCTTTTATGTACATGCATGTATGAAGGGGTTTCTTGGATTTGGCTAACCAGTTGTAGAGGAATGGAGAACTAGTATCTCTCTACCATTTGGAGAAGACCACGTATTTTTAAAAATGGGTGATTGACCACTCCAAGAAAATCTTTCCCTCCTGAAAACTCCCATTTTGTTGACATGGCCACATTATCTGTCCCACTATTTTCTTGAGCTGCTTTCTCCCATATCTGATAATCTTTAATCTATGCTCTGATCCTAATAATATTTTATAATTTAGTGTTCTTTTTATATTGTTAAATACACTTGTAATGGTCTGTGAGAATGTCCTTGAGAGACAAAAGAAGGAGAAAATATCTACTTAATGGTCATATAAGATGTAGACTAGCCTGCAGAAGCAATGAGGCATGGCAAACTTCTCAAGAAGAACACCTCCCACCCATTCTCTTGGTCTCAAAGATGAGGTGGTAGAAATATACTTTCAGTATTGAAAGATTCTGCTACTGTCACCTTTCAATCAAGGTAGTGTTAATATTCATGTTTGGACTACCTCAAAGGCTGGCATGATGAGTACAAAATCCCTCATGAACAAGAAAAGAATGAGGCTGTAGGTTATATGGGCTTCAGAATTAGGAAATGAGGATATTTTTGTTTTATTCTTGTCACATAGGAAATATCAGGTAAGGTTCTTTCACAGAGAGATGTCATTATCTGTTGCAATAACAAACAATTTGTGCATTTGCTAGCATGAACCCATAAGAGGGAACACATTGCAGAAATGTCTTTTTCCTTGTCAGTTTCCCTTTTCAAAATAGACCAGTAAAAAAAGACCAGGTAGAAAATTCTCTGACATCATTTGATATGTTTTGGTTTTCAGAATTGTCAAAATGAGTGCTGCGATGCTGCAACGTGTAAACTGAAATCAGGGTCACAGTGTGGACATGGAGACTGTTGTGAGCAATGCAAAGTAAGACTTGTTTATGTTTAACATCAGGAGAGATTTTATTCTGCTCCATGCTAGCCATATAGAAATCTAATATCTCTTGGCTGTTTACTATGATCAAAACATTTCAACCCTATTCCTATCCTTTCTTCCAATTTATCTGACCCTTATGAACATATCCATAGGGAGGGTAATTTAATAAAATTTCAATCTGCTCTCAACCTCAAATGCACTCTTTCACCATGTTAAATCATATCTGTGAAAATAATATATTTGTTCTTTAACTGAGATTGCGTGGAAACCAGTTTAAACAAAGACTCTGTAGTGAACCTTTTGAGGAGAGTGGCCCAAAACATTTTGTTATTTCCATATTTCCATCACAAGCCTAGATTCACAGGAAGAGAAGGGAGACACATGTTTTTCAGCATATGACAGAAAATGCTATGAATGCTTCTTCCTATGTAGAGAAATAAAAATATATCATGAGAAGTTCAGCAATTCACTTTTTGCTGCTTTTTCATGGCAGCCCACTTGATTTTCCCTTTATGGTTAGCCAACAGGTAGAACTTGTCTTTCAGGAACTGAGCCTTTCATTGCAACCATTTCCCCACAGCAAATAAGACAGACTGGGACTTCTAGGCATCACACACAGTTGTAGCAGGACAGGGATGCCTTGCCTGGTGATCCACAAGACAAATGAAGAGGAGGATTTGAAATGTGTTGTGAATCATAGTTTGACTCTTTGATCTCTGTTGCTGAAGAGTGATAGCTGGAGTATTTTTTATTCTCACCCACAGTTTATAAAAGCAGGAACAGTATGCCGGGTAGCAAGGGGTGATTGGAATGACGATACCTGCACTGGCCAATCTGCTGACTGTCCCAGAAATGGCCTCTATGGCTAAACAACAATGGAGATGGAAAGGTTAGTAAAAGAATACCTCTAATGTCTGTGCTCTGTAGTCTGATTCCAAGGGGTGATTGCTAAAAATCTTTTGCAATCGATCAATGCTGAAAGCTGTGAATCTACATAGAAGAAAAAGTATTGATCTAGCGTTCGTTTTTTTCTTCAAACAGCAACCACAACAAATGAGTTCAATGTCACAGTGCTGTATCTTTCTTCCAAGAACAAAACGCCTGGCCTTCTCAGAGCCTTGTGCTTAGGTGGAAGAGAGAAATGAGAGAATCAGGACAGAGCTGGTTGTGACCTAACAATGAAGCAAACCCAAAGTTTCCCTCAAAGGATCAGGAATCACTTTCCCTTGATTTCTATGCAATAGAGAACCTGAAAGAAGTTTTGATTAGTTCAGAAAGTTCTGTTTTACTCCATTGATAATTTCTTGCTTTGACTTTCAGGCCTGCAGCAACAGGCAGTGTGTTGCTGTGACTTCTCTCAGATTTGGTTTAGGAGATTCTTCTTCCAGAAGGTTCAACTTCCCTCAAGTCCGAAGAGACCCATCTGCCTGCATCCTTCTAGTAAACCACCCTTAGCTTCCAGATGGCATCCAAATTCCGCAATGTTTCTTCTCCATATTTAATCTGTTTACCTTTTGCTGTAATCAAACCTTTTCCCCTCCACAAAGCTCCATGGGCATGTACAACACCAAGAGATTGTTTGCTGTCAAAAAAAACAAAAAAAACGGCCATTTTACCGTTTGCCAATTGCAAGCACATTTAATGCAACAAATTCTGGCTTTTGAGCTGGTGTATTCGAAGTCAAAATTTCATGCTGGCTTTCCAACATGTAGCTGCTTTCATCAATAAACTAAGTATTCTCATTCTGCATTTTGTAAAAGCTCATCTTTCAAATATGGTTTTGTGAAGTAAACCGCATCAAGAACTTGCATGCAATCCTGAGGTAAACTATCAGGTGAATTGTCTACTTATAAGGAACTTATTCACATTCATCCAGAAAATTCAAAATATAGTATATTTTGTCTCAGAACAATAAATCATCCACATATTGCAATACAATTCCAAAGGTGCTTTTCAAAAGGCAGGTGGACCTTCTTATTTTTTTTTTCTTGAAAATCTTTCACTTTTCATCCAAGTGAAGAACTGAAGAAGCTTCTTGGATGAAGCAAAACATTTTCTTTTTGTAAAAAAATATTTATTTTCATTTGTCAACATGAATAAAATGAAAACAGAGAAACAGAAAAATGAGCACCATCATAAGAGTGCAGAAAAAAGAAAAATAAAGTGTTTTTTTAAATGGGTACAAAAAAAGGTAGGGAAACCTAAATGTTTAATATATGTAATATTGCAGGATTCAATCTGGGTCAGTCGTCAGGACCAGAAGCTTCATCTTCCAAGCTTCCAGTCTCATGCTGGAGCCCATCCTCAGAGCCCGTCTCTGTGTCCAGCATGAGTCCAAAAGGTCAGGAAACAGAAACTGGTCCTGGTGACTGAACCAGACTGGATCCTGCAACATTATGTTCTCCTTCATTCGTGTCTGACATGGAACAAAAAGAGCCCATCCCGGCTGGATTCTGAAACATTGAAAAGAACGGTAGGTTCTCCTTCTCTTACGTAATGGGTCTACAAATAGTTATAAGCTTTCCCATCCTTACTTGACAAAAATACTATATTAAACAAACAAATATTCCAGAGGAGAGAATCCATCTATTATTGTGTTCAACAGTAGAAAGTCCACCAATGGCTCCCAGGCTCTAATAAACCTTCTAGTCCATTGTCTTATCAAAGCAGTTGGTTTTGCCATCTCTGCTAGTTCAGACAATTTCAAGATCCATTCTTCCACAGTCAGCACAGGGCTTAGCAAGTACAATCTTCACAGCAGTCATAACATAAAGTGATAATGTCCCAAATTGTTTTTCAATTGATTTGTCCCTAATACCTAAAACAACCTTCAGATTTAATATCTCTGTCTTAAATATTCAGAAATCAACAACAACCAAGAAAGTCCATTTGCCTTTTGAACAGCACTTTTGGGCCAGCCCTGACTTGGAAGACTGAGAATCTCCACAGACAGTGAGGACCATTAATGGGTGGGGATGGGCTGACTCCAGAAGGTGTGGCTGCTCCATCACTGGAGCTTTTCAAGGCCTTTATTTCTCCAGAACGGTATAAGGTCTCCTGCCATGGCCAGAGGGTTGGACTAGAAGACCTCCAAGCTCCCTTCCAGATCTATGATTCTTTGACAATTCTAAATGCTGACTGCTAGTGAAGATTCTCTGGATTCAAAAAGGTGGAAATTCCCTGATTGCAGATTCCTACTGTACATCAGTCTTAAACACATTCTAGATATTTGTTTTCTATTTGCATATATTCATGAGGGCCATGTGACCCCAGAAGCTCTTCAGCTGTGAATCTGAGATGAACAGGCCCCCTAGAGTCAGACACAACTAGCAGAGGAAACAGAAGCTTTTGGGAACAATACAACTATGAAGCTCACTAATTATGTGGATGTTGACAATGTAAAGAGAGTAAACTTTGCATTTCTTTTGCCAGATGTACTTTAACACACATTGTTCTGATGACAGGCAGGATAAGATCCCAGAAAATAGGAAGGAGTGGCATTTCCAGTATCTAGTATCCTTTGAATTAGAAACAGTAATGGTATGCAGCAAAAACCTTGGGACTACAAAGATTCCCACCAATACCAATAAGGAAAGCCACTTGTATATAAATAGAGAGCAAATCCCATTCACTTCCAGCATTGATGATATTACCTAGTTTGGTAATGAAATGTGTGCAAGACAAAAGGATCCCACAGTATTCATGAGCAACAGTTGCTTAAAAACAGCAGTAGTATCAGCACTGTAAACAATCGCTTTACAGTATTAAAGCCTGCATCCTAAAAAAAAAACAGCCTTAATAACACTAATAATAACTGATTTCCAAAAGGAAAAGCATAATAATTCTTTGACAGTTGTTTTGCCTTGTGTCTTGCCAGCATCTGATTGAAAATAACCAACAAAATGAGATTAAAGAAGATTAAAAGGAGATCAGTGCCAAAGAGAATATAGAAAAGAACCATTTTATTCCCTGATCTATTTCTTTATTTCTTTGTTTTCTCTGCTTGTTTTGATTTTATCTTCCAAAGCTGTAAAGGGTGATATGGGGCTTATGCAACATTAGAATTAGTGGCAGTCAAGGATGCAGACATTTCACCTGCCAATATGAAAGAGAGAAGGCTTTGTGGCCACCATCTTGGCACTTTTTTTTATTAACCCTCCCTGCAGATGCCCATAGCTGCAGTCAAAACTCATGAAAATCACTGGATATTGTTAGTCGTAGTTACAATTGGAGAGTTTCATAAATGAATAACAAATGGAGTCATAAAGAGCCAGTTTGGTGTAGTGGTTAAGATACTGGTCTAGAAACCAGGAGACATTGACTTATTTATAAAAAATAATAAATATGGGGATAAAATATAAATAAAATCCAGAAATGAAGAACCAAAATGGAAAACTTGATATAGATATTGAGTATGTTAATTATATCTTACCTCAGAACTGAGAATTTTTTATTTCTGTTCTCCAATGGTACACTGTTGGACAATACCTGCCCTGTTCTAAAGGGCAGGAACCATGACAGAAAAGTCTCTTCTTCTGGATCCCACTAGCTGAAATTTCTTGGCAGAAGGATCCAGAGTAGCCCCCTTCTGCCAGCATGAGTAGGTCAAGTCAATCCTATGGTGGCTCTGCAGATATCCTGGACATGGCATAAACAACCAACACTTGAATAGCACCCAGAAACAGATCAGCAGCCAGTGCAGCTCATGCATGGCATTACATATCCACCCAAGGGGTCTCCAAAACTTTCTGTGCCACAACATTCTAGACTACTCTTCAAGGGAAGCCCCCCGTAGAACATGCTGCAATAATCCCAATGGGAAATGGACAATAGTTGGCAGCAAGATGTTTACAGGTGAGGAGGGTGTCCACAAATCAAAGTGCATACTTCTATTTTTTTTAAAGTTGAAATCTGAAGATCTATTTGAAAAATACTAACTTGTGAAATGCTAAAATCTTAAGAAAAGCTGGGTGATTCAGGGAAGTTATTATTTTTATTTTTTGAACAGGAGCTGAGGCATTAGATAAGATTGTAAAATGCTATCAAATGCCAGGGAAAGGGCCATCACCTTGTGTAGAGGACAGTAGTAAAATCTAAATAAGGGCTTCAGCTTGTTCACTGTGTTAAACAGTTCCTTTGCAGAAGTGATTAGGGTATATATATTTTCCTATTATTTCCTAATCCCTGCCATGAGAAAGCTAAATATCAGCATGTGTATTTATTATTACAGGTTCTTGGCATGGATGAGATTTAGCCTGATAAATGTTTTGTATTTGTTTTTCAAGGATTAGGACCATCTCCAAAAGAAAATGAAATGCCATCACAAGTCATACTGAAAATTTTGTAAACATAAAAGTGGACAGTGCCAGGTAAGATTACATGGACAAGGCTATTCATGAGACAAAAGAGCTAAAATATGTTCTCTTCTTCTGTCAATTATCTTTTGATCCACTGCAGTAAATAACAATTTTCTACTCTTTTAAAACAAGGAAGGAGCATGGGTGGTAAACAGCCACAATGTTCAGAAATAAATGCTCTTGAGAAAGTAACATGAAGAAGAGCCAAACAGCAATAGGTTCATTTCAAAATAAATAGGTTTTGAAGAAATAGGTCTCAACACAGTATTTTTTACATACCTTCCGAGTATCACTCTTTGCAAAAAAAAAAAAATTGAGGGAGTTAGGTATGTACAGCCTATCAAAGAGAAGGATTAAGAAGGACACGATAATGATCTTCCAGTAATTGTGGGACTATCCTAGTGAAGAGGGGATTACTTATTAAAGAGATATCTAACCTAAAAGTAAGGAGAAAATATCTGACAGTAAGAACAATTAATCAATGGAATAGCTTGCTTCATGCAGTGGTGGGCGCTCCATCACTGGAGGCTTTCAACAATTGACTGGTTAACCATTTGACTGGGATAGTCTAAGGCTCTTGCCTTGAGCATGGGGTTGGACTACAGGATCTCTGCGGTTCCTTCCAACCCTATGATTCTATATTCAATGAAACCAGCTAAACTGGTAACTAGTGTCACCTCTCATGGTAGCCGGTTCCAAAGTTGAATGATATGTTCTGTAAAAATGAAAACAAACATACAAGAATAGAGATTTATTTCCATGACTGAATTTCATTGGTTGACTCTGCTTCTAATTAATCCCTCTAAATTCTTCATCCTGTTTATGGTATTAAAAAAAAACCTGGAGAGAGATGTCTAAATAGGTAAGGTTTTCAATAAATTTGGATGGTCACTTCTGATGAAATCCCCCACTTTCAGAAGGCTTCCCTGTAATCTACAACTCATAAAATGCACATGGAAAGGCCTCTTTAAAAAGGACAACGAAGTTAGAGCAACAGTAGTACAAAATGTCTTAATACAATTCTTTGAACTAGGAAAAGTACATTGGAAAATAAATATATTAGATGTTCATGTACACGCATACAAATTTTAATGCAGGCTTCTTGTTAATACAAAATTTATAACGATGGAATTTAGCCATGATATACTCATTTACTTATTTCATTTATACCCCAATTTTCACCTCAAATTAATATTTAATGCAATACATTATATACATTATTTACAAAAGTTATCAAATTAGACTATAGAATAAAAATCTTTGCAAATCTTTAGCGAAGTATGAAACATTCGTTGCCAAACACCAACACCACTGCAACAATGGTTCATAATTGTGGCAAGAATGGGCTATCCTTTGTCTTTTATATGAAGAGGAAGAAAGATGATATCTTAGAAAGCAAGGAAGAAATAGATAAGAGAGAAAGAGAATCTGGATGCCCCATGAAATTTTAGCTTTTGCACCCAGTCACTAGTTTATCCACTCTTGCCCATTATTTGTGCAATCTTCTCCTAATTGCTCTTCAAAATATCATTATGAACAGAAAGGCAGGAGAACTAAAGTTGAGCTGCAAATACAATAATCTCAAACAATCATTCACTAAATAAACTCATTAGAGTACATTGAGTGCACAAAGAACACACAAAGAATATAATGATTTTAATCTTTTAAAGATTAATGCTTCTTAAACAGTTGGCATAATCTTAGCTGTTCCATAATTGTGAAGGCTGTCATATCTTTTCTAGTGCAGTCTTTTTCAACCTCAGCAACTCAACTCAGCAAGTTGACTGGGGAATTCTGGGAGTTGAAATCTACATAGCTTAAAGTTGCTAAGGCTGAGAAACAAGGGTCCTGGGGTCAGCATCTCATGGCATAATTTATATGGTGAAGCTTATAGCTGGCTTTACCATTTAAAGCAGGAGGATTGCAGTGTGTACTGAAATAGCTTTGTTCCTTTACATTTTACATGAATTTACTTCATTTGTTTTCCTAAATCTACTTTGAATGGGAAAAGAAGCCCCTATTTATTCTATTTAGAATTTTGCAGTGCTGTTACAAAGCACACTTATATGCTGAAAACTGCAATATTCTGAATGTTGTGATTCAGTTCACTCTAGAGGATTTAGTTGTCAAAAAGCATATGTAAAAAAAATGAGCACCCTGTTATACATTTGCATAATTTAGGTGAAAACCTACTCAAAAGTACATAATATTAGGAGAAATAATCTGTAAATTACCAATGATTGGGGTGGGAAGAGAAAATATAAAAAGTACACAAATTAAGATTATTAGGGAAACGTCTGTAGGAAAAATGTGCAGAATGCAGAATTAAAAATACAACCTGATTTGGGAGTGAACTGAAAGAAATGCAAACATGGAAAAACAAGAGTTTAAGAATTTAGGGGAAGAAAAGTCTAACTTCCCCATTGTATTGTATCCTTTAAAATGATTGCTGTTTATAGTGTATTACAGAGCACATCCATGAATGCCAACTAGTAGTCAGAAGACAAGATATAAAATCTTTAACTGTACAACACATGGACAGGCTAAAGCATAATTTCAACTGGGAGACTGGAAGCATCCTAGATCAAGCCAAGTTCAAAAAACCTAGTGAATTCCTGGAAGAGTGGTACTCAAACAAACCAATCATCATCAGGTACACAGAGATACACATCATCTACACATCATTCAAAAGAAACAATCAAAAAGCCAAAAAGGAAACAAAAAAGCCCCAAATAGTTCCTCACCAACAATCAACGACTAGATGAGCAAACACCAACACAAGATAAACACTAGACCAACAATCAAGAAGTAAACAATACCCAACCTTATCAAGAGACTACAAAGAAGACTCTCACAAACACCAATGGGGAAAGCCCCTTGTATAGAAAAAGAGAGCAAATGCCATTCCCTTCCAGCATTGATGATATTACCTAGTTTGATAATAAAATGTCTGCAAGAAAAAGAACCCCACAATATTCATGAGCAACAGTTCATGAATAGTTAAAAACAGCAGTAATATCAGCACTGTAATACAATAGCTTTACAATAGCAAAGCCTGCATCCTAAACATTTTTAATAGTAATAATCACTGATTGCATAATAATTGTTTGACAGTTGTTTTGCCTTGCCTCTTGCCAGCATCTGATTGAAAGAAATAGACAAAAGGAGATTAAAGGAGATTAAAAGGAGTTTAATACCAAGAAGAAGGTAGAAAGGAATCATTTTCTTCCCTGTTCTGTTTCTTTATTTCTTTGTTTTCTCTGCTTGTTTTGATTTTATCTTCCAAAACTGTAAAGGGTCACATGGTGCTTATGCAACATTAGAATTAGTGGCAGTCAAGGATGCAGACATTTCTCCTGCCAATATGAAGGACAGAGGGCTTTGTGGCCACCATCTTGGCATTTTTTTATTAACCCTCCCTGCAGATGCCCATAGCTGCAGTCAAAATTACTGGATATAGTTAGTAGTGGTTCTAATTGGGGAAGAGATTCATTAGCAAAATGAATAACAAATGGAGTCATAAAGAGCCAGTTTCATGTGGTGGTTAAGATGCTGGTCTAGAAACGAGGAGACTGTGAGCCTTTCTTAGGCATGAAAGCCAATTGGGTAATTTTGGGCTTCTTTCTTTCAACTGAACTCATAGGACTTTTCTTGGAGAAAATAGGACAGGAAAGAATATTAAGCTTGTTCACTATCTTGACTTATTTATAAAAAAATAAAGGCAGAGGAGAATAATCTAAACAAAAAACAAAATCAAGAACAAAACATTTGGCCCTATATCATATAAATATAGAAGAAGAGACAAAGCTGGAGGGTGGAGTTAAATGTGACATCAGTTTGGAGTCATTCCATTGCTACAAGAGACCCAGTTCCTGCTCTCCGTGAATTCCATTGACCCATATTTAGTGTCAATTCAGCACTGACTATTAGTTGACTAGATTCTTGTGTATACTGGCAAGAGCAAGCCCTTCTGTACCCCATGCACCAGAGGCCCCAAATTTAGTTGTATTAACATGTGAGCCAGGGAAAGATCTGCTGTGAACAATTAATAGCCTCCTTTGGACTTTTGCTTTGGGGATGCCTTGAACAAACCCTTTCAGCTGTCATTTTTGGAGAGACAAGTGCTGAGCCAGCTGGAAAACTGCCCTCCAGTAGTATTGTTACAACTCAGAATTTGTGCAAATCCTTTAGCAAACACCTTCTCATATGAGGGCATGAATGAAGCTGAAGGACTCATTCCTTGCTTCTCATAGTCAACAGAGCTCAGGTTGGCTTGAAAGTAGGAAGAGATTGCCTGTCTTCCAGCCAAATCCAGCCTCCAAAATGATCCAGGTTCTCTTGGTAACTATATGCTTAGCAGTGTTTCCATATCAAGGTAAGATGTTCTCTTTGGTTCCCTTGTTCAGATTCTTACTGCTAAAAGTCTATGACACCTAACAAATTTCTATGATTTGTCTTTGGATGCTGAACCAAAATTTGCTCCACTTCAGTTTCTATAGACTTAGCAAAATAATGCTAAGCAATGTCTCCAGTTAGACTTCCAGCTCCCAAACTTCATTCAGCAAATTGCATTCCCAGAGAAAATCTGGATTTCTGTGCTGTGTCCCACTAGAAAAAGATTCCATTCTTCACTGATAACTGAATAACAAATTGTGTTGTGGATGTGAGAATGGTAGAATAACATCCCAAAGCAACCCAAAACTTCCTTTTCTTTTTCCTTACAAAGGGAGCTCTATAATCCTGGAATCTGGGAACGTGAATGATTACGAAGTAGTGTATCCACGAAAAGTCACTGCATTGCCCAAAGGAGCAGTTCAGCCAAAGGTAAGAAAAAGATCTTTCTTTCATCAACAAATTATTTCTTGTCAGCCCACAGAAATTTTGATATTCCTTTGCTGCCATCTAACGCTTATCTGGATTTTGCATTGCAATCTATGTTCATGCTTGAATTATTTATTTATTTATTAAACAAATTTATATGGCCGCCCAATTCACACAAATTTGAGGAGACTCATGGCAACTTACAAACAGAATTTTCTAATATTAATAGGTTAGTATAACTAATAAAGAGTAGGGAATTACCCAGCTGTACAGGGAAGAGGGATCAAGCAGGGTATTAGCCATGAGTCATTTCATAGCTGCAACAGATCCAGGACTGACATGTTCTCCCCCAACCCCAGGAAATTCCATTAAAGTTTATCTATTTGTTCCAAAGAGAAGGAAAGCGGTCTAGGGAGATTCCTGTATTATAGGCAGATTACAATAAAGTAGTTGATTTAAACTCTACATGTATGTATCTGGTTACTTACGCCTAACATAAATTTACTTTTAATAGACAGCTTTGAGAGATTTCTTCTTCCTTTTTATGTTCTTGGGTCATCCTTCATAAAAGTTGATGGGCAGCTGTGACAGCTATGAAATTATCCTTTCTAGCTTCCCAGAATGCATCATTTTGAAATATAAAAGTTGTGTTTCTAGGTGAAGATGGTATAGTGATAGTGCTTACAGCTCACGATTAGGACTAAGAACCAGATGACTTTTGAGTCAGTCCCTCTGTCCCAGCTCAACCTCATTCGCCAAAATGTTCATTTAGAGAATGAAATCTTGAACTTATGCAGGAAAGTTCATTTAAGAACTTACAGGTCAAAGCACTAGATGAGATATTCTAAATCTCATAAATAGTCTGGCTATGGCAAATTATTTTTTAGATTTGAATTGATACAGGTGTAGAGTTGTTAAGTGGGTGCACATTTTATTTGTCTAATTATCTGAAAAAATAAACCCTGAACTTTTTGCATTTCAGTATGAAGATGCCATGCAATACGAATTTAAAGTGAATGGAGAGCCAGTGGTCCTTCACCTGGAAAAAAATAAGTATGCTAACTCAGAAGTTCTCTTAACTTTATTAGGACAATGTGGAAAATGTATATTCCTGGACACAATCTAAGAGAAATAATAATTGCATTCCTTTGTTTGGAAATTAAATTAAATGTCTCTGTGTAGGAAAAATGGATATAGTGATTGAATATGTTAATTATATCTTACCTCAAAATGAGAATTTTTTTACTCCTGCTCTCCTATGCCACGCTGCTGGACCATAACAATTTTAGACAAAGTTGAACCATTCAAGGTTCATAACCTTCTAACACTTGAATTAACTAGGTTAGTTATGAAATATTGCAAAGATTCAAAAAAGATTGTTTATGCTGCTTCACAGATACCCCGTCAATCTGAATAACATTTCCTACGAGACCTGCATAGCTGTTCAACTTACATCAGAATGTATATGTTCAAGCATGAAAGGCAGGAAATGTCATCTCCTATTAAGGCCCAAAAGGGGAGAAGACCGAAACAAGCCCCAATTTCACTACACTTTTTTTTTTAAAAAAAATGCCCTGTGAGTCTTCTCTGAGGTGTTCCATTTCAACTGTAAATTAAGATATGAATAAAAATATTATGCAAATGTAATCCACCTGACCTATATTTGCATAATAACTAACCATTGAAATGAGTTTTTGCTCTTTCACTGACTCATCTAGCCAGGCCTTAAAAAAATATTGGCAGCTTTGTTTCACTTTGGGGAATAGAAATGGAATGAAACTATTTTTCAGCATAAAAGATAAACATACGGTAGTTGGAAGGGATCTTGGAGGCCTTCTAGTCCACTCCCTGCTCAATCAGCAGACTATACCATTCCATGGCTGTCCAATCATTCCTTGAAAACCTCCAGTGATGGAATTCCCACAACTTCCGAAGGCAAGCCATTCCAACGATTAATTGTTCTTGTTCTCAGGAAATTTCTCTTAGTTCTAGGTTGGATTTCTCATGTGTACAGTAAATAAACCACAAACACCACTAAAAGAAAGTGTGCCATTGTCATTACCCTGAAACCTGTAAATACCATATCGCAGTTTAAATTAGTAAAGCAGCCACTAAACTGTAAACAAGTCTTGGCAAGCTGGTGCAATTTAATACTGAGATACATAGTTGGAGCATTGGGATTGACTGTCTGGCTTTGATTATAAAATGTATTTTAGTTTTGACCAATTATATGTGCCTCCAAATGTATATTGCTTTTATTATTAAGTATAAGCTACAAAGAAATTACCCTATACAGTATGTATCTGTGCATCACTTTATCTTATACTACTGGAATTTCAAAGGTAGCATCTGGATGGTCTTGTTTTGGCGTGGAAGCAAAGCAGGACTAGAGAGGGAAGACCAGCAGGGAATATCTAGACTGGAAAATAGAAGGCAATGCCAAGTGAATAGATGATATCAGGAATGGAAAGTGACTCCATACATTGATTTAAAACTTCAAGAGAGATGCTTCTGTATAAAGGTTCAAGGCATTTATTTCCTTGAGGTTCCTTCAAATTATTCTAAAGTAAATAGAGCTATACTGTTCTCCTTTATAGACCCAGCAGTTCCATGAGATGTTGTATAGACTAGAAAAGGGGTCTTCAAACTTGGCCCTTTTATTACTTCTGGACTGGCTGAGGAATTCTGGGAGTTGAAGTCCAAGGGCCAAGTTTGAAGAGCCATGGATAGAAGAATGAAGAGAAGACACAATACAAAAGAAGACACAATCATTCTCCTCTGAGCCTTGATGAAGAGAATTGCACAGTTTCTTTGGTGTAAATCTCTTTCTTCAGGTGAATCTAGTATGCACTGCCCTCCTCTTAAATAGCCATGGGATTGAAATACCTGCTCCATTCTTTTGATAACAAACAAGATGTTTAAAATGCCATTATATAGAAGTTGTAAATTTATTATGAAATTATCTCAGTCCTACTTAATTCCTGACATAGATATTCTCTTCTTTGCAGAGGACTTTTTTCAGAAGATTACAGCGAGACTCATTATTCCCCTGATGGCAGAGAAATTACAACATACCCCCCCAGTTGAGGTAGGGTCTCACTTTTAAGAGTCTTGCTTTTAGGAAGTAAATTGAAATGAATGTTTGTGCACAATATTACAAATATACAAGAACAAGACCAGCCTACTCAAACAAGAAGGGCTATATACTGTATCTATGAAGTATCTTATATTGATATGTTCTTACAAGGATGTATGGAATGTTAAATCCAGTTTGTTTTACTCATTGAATTATCGTGGCAGTATTTCAATCATCAAGTTCTTTCCTACTGGTTGAAAACCAGCATTTTGGGGAGTTAGTTTCACAAATAGATTTATTATGAGAACATTAGGTTTATAAGATCTATATTTTCATTTTTAAACCAAACTACAGTCTTTTATTTGTAATACCAAAAATGAGAGAAATTCACTTTGCTCCTATACAGAAATCCATATAATCTATTTCATATTAAAATGGTCCAGAACATGGCCCTAACAGCTGCAAAAAATGACAGCACTAACATGCTTCGTGAAGTCCTTGGCTCCTTGTCCTCAAATTGATCTAAACATGCATCCTCTGTCTCCAAAAAATATCTACTTCTGGCTTAGCATCGTCAAAGTTCATACAAATTGTTCCTACTTAGTGTGTAACAGAAATCTTTTGATTTTAATGTCTGCATGGATCCTGCTTCCAGATATTGTTAGGAATCATATCTCTCTGTATATTCTGAAAGCTTTCCTTGTATGAGCTCAAGGAAATAATGATTATTTGGTATCATTAGTAAATGTGGAATTTTTCAGTAAGATTTCAGAATGTTGAACAAACATCAAGTCTGAAAGTTTCTTCAGCAAATCCTGTAGTTCAGCACTAGAGTTCACCTTCAAGAAAATATTTTATATTTTTGTGTTAGTTATCTTCCCAAGCATGTCTTCTGTCCCCCTGAATCAAAATTTTCTGAATAACTGCTGTCTTAATATTTCATTGATGTGGTGAAATACATTGGAACTGTACTTCTGCTCATCAAATCACACCACAAAGCAGCTTTAACCAGTGGAGTCCTCTTGTCTCCCCACAGGATCACTGCTATTATCATGGACGCATCCAGAATGATGCTGACTCAACTGCAAGCATCAGTGCATGCAACGGTTTAAAGTAAGATATTCTCTAATCTTTTATTTATTTTATTAAAAATAATATATTGCTCTTGGAGTTGTCACAGTTAAAATGAAGGACATCAGTTTTTCATGCAAATCAGTTGGGTGTGATCCAAGACTTTGGTTGAATACCAAGAAGAGCTGCTGACAGCCAGCAGAGACACGAGGGAGCTAAATCAGATCTGTCTAAAGGAACTTCCAAGCCCCTGTCTCCTTTACATATAGGAGGTGATGTTACAGGTAGAAAAGATAAGTAGGTTTCAGATTGCATACCTTGCTGGAAAGTGTAGAGGAAGAGGCAAGCAGACTCTTCAGTTCTACCCAGAAACACTTTCTTGAGCCACTCTGCACACCTTCCCCAACCAGCTAGATATCTTAGCCACATAAAGATCCCAAAATTCAGAAGGTCTTTATCAATAGTCAGAATCAATGTCCTCTCAACATCTGTTACTGAAGGAAGACACTGAAAGATCCCCTTTGAACAGAGTCTGTGTCCATGCAGAGAAAAGATGGAACACAGCAGAATAACAACAGAATAATAAAGGGAAAGCAGGATGACCAAATAACAGCATGGAGGTCTTCTAGTCCAACCTCCTGCTCAAGTAGGAGACCTATATCAATTTAGACAAATAGATGTCAGTCTCTTTTTAAAAATCAGTGGTGATGAAATACCCATAACATCTGAAGGTAAACTTTTTCACTGGTTAATTGTTCCAATTGTCAGAAAATTTCTCCTTAGTTCTAGGTTGGTTCTCTCCTTGATTACTTTCCATCCAGTGCTTCTTCTCCTGCCATCAGGTGATTTGGAGAATTGGCTGTCCCACACTTTTTTGTGACAGCCCCTTAAATATTGAAAGACTATCATGTCATTTCTACTCCTTCTTGTCATTAGGCTGAATGTACCCAGTTCCTGCAACCATTCATCATATGTTTTAATCTCCAGGGATTCAGAAACACAGGGAATGTTGACTTAGTTAGTTAAAAATGGGTCTCAGAGCTGAGTTTCATTACCCAACTAGCTAACATCATCAGTGCAGGTTATCTCTGAACTAACAATATTCTCTTCTGTCACTTCTCCATCTCTGATCACCCTTTTCCACATTGTTTTACAGAGGACATTTCAAGCTTCAAGGGGAGTTGTACCTTATTGAACCCTTGAAGCTTCCCGACAGTGAAGCCCATGCAGTCTACAAATATGAAAATGTAGAAAAAGAGGATGAGGCCCCCAAAATGTGTGGGGTAACCCAGAATTGGGAATCATATGAGCCCATCAAAAAGTCCTCTCAGTTAAATCTTACTCCTGAAGTAAGTCTCAAAGTGAATATAGTTTGAGAACCGGGATTCATTTACTTGTTTCTAAAATGTAAAGTAGGAGACAAATTCTTTGGGGGGGGGTGTGTGATTAGATAGAATTCCAAAGGGAGGACACCCCATTTCTAACTTTTTATTCTAGCCATGGTATAAAAGAAATAATGGAAACTTGATGAACATAAAATACATGTTCCAGTCTTATAGCATTTTCTTTGGTCATACAAACATAGTTTGGAGATTTGAATCAAAATGGATTTAAATGAATCTCCAAATCATCTCCACTTCCTAAGTCCATTTTGAAAAGCAGTCAATTTGGATGCCTCTTTTATGCATGCAAAGAGGACTTGGGATAGAGGGAAAAACTGGTTTGAAATATTTAACTGTTTTGAGATGTTTGATAAAACCATTACATAATCTTGACTCCATTTTCCAATTTGATTTGAATCATCAAGTTGAATTGATGGAATGACTGAATCAAAAATGACAAAATGAATCTGGTCACAATTGACCCTCATACTCCCAATATTTTTCCCCTTTACTGAAGAGAATAAAAATTAGAAAACAAAACATTGCATCCAAAGTGACAGTTCCTTCCTTTCCTTTTGGTGGCAAAAGTTGAAACTGGCTGATACATATCTAGAAGTTCAAAACCTCAAGTTTTCTATTAAAATATTAAAGTTGACATGAAACAACAGTTGTTGTTACCATGTAATACCAAAACACAAGTGCAGATGCCACAATTGATTGTGAAATCAATTTGTCTTTTGGCTTCAGTGTTTCTGGCAATTCAAGAATCTTTATCCTCAGCAAGTTGTGGATCTTGTGCAGCAGAGTTAAGAAAGTGACTGTCAGAGAGCAAGGAGAGAAATTGCACTCTGGAATTGGCAATTTGGCCTTGTAGTTCTGTATGCTGAAAAAACAGGAGTACACTTTCCTAGAGAAATAAGCAAGTAACCTTCAGGTCTTAGCATAAGTCTATTTCCTGAGCAATCTGGGTACTCTAGTGGTGGAATCTAACAGGGGAATGCAGGAGGGAGGGGCTCTTTCTCAGGGAAACAAGAGGCAGATCAGCAATGAGTCCTTGGATGGCAGAAAGAAGCCCTGAAGGGATCCTCCCTAAAACAGGGGTATCTCATGGTTACACACAGTGTGCTTTAGTCTGGCAAGATTCCCGTCTATAGGAGAATTACAATAAAGAAACTACTCTGAGCAATTAACCATGTTTTTTTGTTCCTTCTGCCTGAGAAATCTGAAGCACTATTTCAGTAATCATTTTAAAATTACATCAAAAGAAAGGCATAATTATTTGGCCATTTAGAGTGAGTTCAGTGGGTCAAAATGTCTGATTGCCTCCCCTTACCTTCTCTTTCATGTGATATGATTGCAGGCAAGGTCTAATTGATTCCATAGCATGACCACATCACCGTGTTTCTCACGTGATTGGTTGGGATCCTTTGTTTGAGAAAGGGAAGGAAAGGTGAGAAAGTCATTAAAGCATCATTTTCACAGGCTGAAAAACAGGTCAAAGAGAGCAAATTCCTCACTTGTCTGTTCTTATTCCTATTAAATTCTGTTCAGAATTAGGTATTCATATGCACCTTTATCTGTAAAGGTAGGTCATAAATTCCAAAAACAGATTAACTGGAAAAAAGTGTCACACCTTATTAATACAAAGAAAGTGATTTTTATTAAAGGAGACCACTTTTGTTTGTGCTTGAGAATCCATTGCATAATGTACTTTTTCCTCAAAACTTTGTCAGCACTTTCTTTAAGTCAGAAGTCCCCAACCTTTCCTGTTTTGCGGTCAAGTGGGGGGAAGGAGATGGTTCCACGTGAGCAGCGGGGTCATGGGCGCACCCAGTGGAACCATCCCCTTCATGCAAATGGAGCTCACCCACCCATGCTCATTTGTTGGTCATACAAGTGGAGATGTAGGTGCTCACCTGCCACTTCCATGTCCCAGTTCCGAAGGGCTCAAGGCCCAGGGATAAAATGTTAACAAGCTGTCTCCCTGTAAATGTCTTCTTGAAAGAACCAATATTTCTGAAACTTCAAGTATTTTGACCAGAGAGTAAAATAAGCACTTTTCTGATTATCTGATGATGACCAGCGTTCTTATTGGCTGCTGGGAACAACATGTCTAAACAGTCTTTTGTTTATTGTTCTGTTTAGCAAGAAAGATACTTGAGCATCAAAAAATACATTGAGCTTGTCATAGTTGCTGACAATGTAATGGTAAGTATCCTGGATATCTCTCCATTTTCTTTCTGCATTGAGCACAGCATTTTTTTCTGCCTTTTTTAACATGGGCATTTTTGAAGAAATTAACAAACATCCTAACTGGCTTTCTCTTAAAATGTGCTTTATCATAAACTTTCATATTTTTTGTTATTAGACCCAACCAACATTTACAAAATTAAGAGACATTTGCACATTTGTTCTTCCTGGATACCATCTAAATTTATTTTTATCCAGCACTGGTTAAACAGTTCTGTAAATTGAAGAAAAAGATGCATAGTGAAGAATGCTTATCTCACACATCTCTGAACATGGAAATATAGCATCCTATTTAGAAAAGCATTTCAGTAGGCTGACTAAAATTTTCTCCAACCAGGAAAAAAGCCCATGTATGCTTCAGAAAATTTAAGAATCCTTAATATATTAATGGCACAAATGTAGATTAGAAAATCAGAAATCTGCTTGGATAAAAACTATTATTACATCAGCAAATTCAATGATCCTTTCATTGATCTGTTCTTTCTCTCCCTCCTTCTTCCTTCTTCCTATAATTATGATCTCAACTTTTTTTGTTTTTTCTGTAGGTCATGAAATACACCAGCAATTCAACTGCTATAAGAACAAGAATATATGCATGTGTCAACATTTTAAATCTGGTAAGAGGACATGGCAAATATTATTTTGCTTGTTGATTTTAAACTTCTTTCAGCTCCAGACCACACTTTCACTGTGTTCGCACAACATTTAACCAAGTAAAGAAAGAGAAAAGATGGATTTTTACAATAATGCTAATTTTTGTGGCTTTGAGTGAGTTAAAACTAGGTCATTTAGCCAGCTGGTGATCCAGCATGTGAGGCCATCCCAGAAAATGGGTTAATTCAGTAACTAGGTTAATAAGCCTCTTATGGGAGTACAGCCACTGTGTTGGGAGGATGCAGATCCGAAAGTGTTGCAAGAATTCAATCAGAACTATATCTGTAGCTGGATTCTTTCAGGCTGTGGTTAATGGTTCTGAACTTGGAGATTAGAAAGAGATGGACAGAGTCAGCCTATTCCAAGCTCAGTTGATTATGAAACTGATCCCTGAGAAGAAACCTGGAGAGAGGAAGTCAACTTGACTTGGATTGTGGTACTTAGGAGGAGATACGCTCATATTGCAGTCTTCTATTCACCTTGTTTACATTTTCACTGTGGATGATGAGTTAGAAACAGGGAGAGAACAGGAAGATTGATGAGTCAATTCTCCTTTTAGTCCTCCTAGTCTTCTGTTCCTGTTTACAGAGAATAATCACCTGCTTCTTTTTATACTGTTATTTATTTCTCCTGCTTAATACATTATTATTATTCCCCAATATATAGAGTCCTTAGTGCTGTCTGAGCTTGGTGGTGTCCTTGCAGACATTTCATTATCTGACTACTCCACATGAGTAAGCAAAGCCACAAACTCAGAGCACCCAGGACTTCAACCTTGAGATCCAGAGATTTCTCTTCTATTGATGCCTAGGTCTGTTTTTTTTAACCTGCCTATAGAAGCCAATGTCGGTTGCTTTTTAATCAAGGTTTACTTGTGTTTGAGTTTCTGATTGATGCCATGTCCACCTGACAGATTTACAGAGCTTTCAATATTCATATAGCACTGGTTGGCATAGAAATTTGGTCCAACAAAGATTTGATTAACGTGCAGTCAGCAGCAGCTGATACTTTGAAAGAATTTGGAGACTGGAGAGCGGCAGATTTGCTGAAGCGCAAAAAACATGATAATGCTCAGTTACTCACGTAAGTCTCATTGTGGGGAAAGGGAGTGGGGGTGGCCGGAGTGGAGGGTTATGGGGAGGTTAGTGCTTGCACAGAGCTTCTGCTCTATGCTCTATGCTTTAAATCATGTGTGAACTATGTTACCGGGTCAAAGTCAACCACTTATTTTTTGTAGATGACAGATGGTTTTGAAAAATCGTTGAAAGATTGTAGGTCAAAAACTCAGCTTGATTTCATTTCACCTAGATTTAAAATTGAAATCAAATGATTATAAATAACCCCACAGCTAAATTGATAGACAAAATCTATTAAATAAATATGTATTTGGGGTTTGCATAGTTAATGGAATTAAATTAACCCAAATGGCCTTAGAAAACATGCTAACCCTTCTCCCCAATCTAATTCATGCTAACACCAGCCAAACTCACCCTATAATGAAAGTGCATCCTGAATATTTTTAACAGACCTGCTTAGTTAAACGGCTTCTGAGACTAGAGCCTAAAATGAATTCTAACATTCTGAAAACTGGTAGTAGCTGAGGATGAGACGAGGTGTTTGCAGAAAGCCATAGTTACGTCTGCCCTAAGACTACATAACGTGCTTCTATCTTCTATCAATTTTATCCCCCTCCCTTTCTTTCTTATAGGGCGATTGACTTAGATGGAGTTCTAGGAGTAGCTCATATGGCCAGCATGTGTCACCCAAAGCTTTCTACAGGAATTGTTCAGGTTAGTAGAAAAGATACCTGTTATCTATTTGTACTCAAGTAAAAACTTATATATAGGCAAAACTTCTTTACAAATGAAGTTTCTTCTTATTTTTGATCCATGTCATTTTCATCCATATTTATTTGTGGATTTGACATCTCCAGGTC